AATATTATTATTAATAATAATATTAATAATAATAATAATAATAATAATAATAATATTAATAATAATAATATTAATAATAATAATAATAATAATAATAATAATATTAATAATAATAATAATAATAGATTTTTCTCTGGAAACCCTCAGACTCCTTGACTTCAAAGCTGCTTGGGAAAAGCCAGATTTCTTGTCTCCGGGTCAATTTTGACACATGATTGGTTTGAACTGCTTCTTGAGCATTTGGGCGAGATGCTGCTGGGGGGGGGGGGGGGGGGGGGGGGGGTACCTGGCCTCGAGCTGCAAGCGAGGAGCTCCTTGAACACCGTTAACTTCACATGAGAGCCTCTCCTCCATCTTTTCCCTCCTTCTTTCCCATCCACGAGTGTCTGCATTTGAATTTACGCGTCCAATGATGTCAAAAGGAAATGTGAGGAAGAAATAAATAAATCTGGGGGGGGGGGGGGGGGTTTAATCATTTACGCAGCCACTTAACTCGCGGATGTGTATTTATTTACTTATCAGTATCAGTCATTTCCCTCCCCTGCAAGTGCACTTTTGCATGTGTGAGTACGATAAGGCATGGCACAACGATCGCGCAATCACTGGAGGCCTCTCGTGGCCATTAAAAGTCAGCAGTTCAGCTGAGGAGTGCTTCTCCAACTCTCGAGTCCATATAGGCCTCCTTTTCTTCAAGAGGGCCCTCGTAAACATCACTACAGTTAATAAAGTGTATTGTGGCCACTGCAGTCCCGAGGTGCAGCAAACAGCAACAAGTCTCCAAAGTCCACATGCGGGAAGCTGTCGCGCGCCCGGACTGCGCGCCCGCAGCAGCCGGGATGAGCATTTCTGATCATGTTTTGTTAGTGGGAGGGGAGCACAAGTCTTCTAAGTGAAATTACGCTCAGAGGGGGGAAAGAGGAGACTGGAGCTGTGTTGTATTGTTGCGGATGCCCCGCCTCTGATGGAGCCTTAAACCTGGCACCCGGCTAAAACAAACCCAAGCCAGCACCGAGCTGCACTCAATTCAATTAGGCGGACTTGAGGCGCTCTCCTACGTCTTCATCTAGCAGGATCGACGTTGAGACAACAGGAACCAGAGGGGCTTTGGCCAAAAAAAAAAAAAAAAAAAAAAAAAGGGGAGAGAGAAGGAGAGATTGCCTTGCCTTCTAATTTCTCCCTCTCCAGCCACAGAACAATGTCGATGAGCCCTAAGCATACGACTCCTTTTTCTGTTTCCGACATCTTGAGTCCCCTTGAGGAGAGCTATAAGAAAGTAAGTATGGAGAGCAACAACTTGGGGGCACCTCTCGCTTCTTACCGGCAGCCGCAGGTCTCTCAGGCGGCCATGCAGCAGCACCACATGGGTCACAACGGGACCGTGTCTGCGGCGTACCACATGACGGCGGCAGGTGTTTCTCAGCTCTCACACTCTGCCATGGGGGGCTACTGCAACGGCAACCTGGGCAACATGGGGGACCTGCCGTCCTACCAGGACGGCATGCGGGGCAGCGCCACGGCCACCGGCTGGTACGGAGCCAACCCAGACCCGCGGTTTTCCACCAGTGAGTATCCAGCCTGTGCGTAAAATGGATAGATTTTACGCGCCGTAGTTTTTTTTAGTTAAACTCTTTATTTATATTTCCTACAGGTCTTGAATTAAAACATGCAAGTTTTAAATATGCACAATTATTCCCCAAAAACATTTAGAAATTTAATTTCCCTAAAAAGAAGCAGGAACAGATTTTAGTGCAGCATCAAATTCAAATGTCTAAAGTTTACCATTTAAACGTTGTTTTTTCCACTAACATTTAATATTTGATTCATTTTCAGTTATAAAAACGTAAAACTAAAATTATTTGATGGTGTTTTCTGGATATGAACGTGTTTTGCTGAATTTCTGAGCCAGTTTGAAAAAGAACAAGGTTTTTCATGTCGCAGCATCAATCAGGAGTAATTATAACAAGATTAATGGAGCAACTTTAACACGAGACTTGAACTTAGTTTATGTGATTCCAAACAACAATAGATTTATTTGAGTGCGCTGCAGAGGAACTAATGTTGAGCTGAATCTTCTCTCCTCAGTCTCTCGCTTCATGGGCTCCTCGTCGGGCATGAACATGGGCAGCATGGGCAGCCTCAGCTCCCTGGCAGATGTGGGGAAAGGCATGGGGTCCCTGTCCAGCACCCCGAGGAGGAAACGGCGCGTGCTCTTCTCCCAGGCGCAGGTCTACGAGCTGGAGCGGCGCTTCAAGCAGCAGAAGTACCTGTCGGCGCCGGAGAGGGAGCACCTGGCGAGCATGATCCACCTCACGCCGACCCAGGTCAAGATCTGGTTCCAGAACCACCGCTACAAGATGAAGAGGCAGGCCAAGGACAAGGTGTCCCAGCAGCAGATGCAGCAGGACAGCGGCTCGTGCCAGCAGCAGCAGCAGCAGCAGCAGCAGCAGCAGCAGCAGCAGCAGTCCCCACGGAGGGTGGCGGTGCCGGTGCTGGTGAAGGACGGCAAGCCGTGCCAGGGCAGCGGGCACACGCCCACCTCCTCCGCGCAGACACACCACCAGCAGGGGGGCAACGTCATGATCATGTCCAACAACACGTCCGGCCTCGCGCAGCACCAGGGCCAGCAGGTGGGGGGTCACTCCCCGGACTTGGCTCAGCACTCCTCCAGTCCTCCGTCCCTGCAGAGCCAGGTGGGCGGCCTGTCCCACCTGAACCCCCCCGGGGCGGAGTACGGCTCGGCCCTGCAGTGCTCGGCCCTGCTGTACGGCAGGACGTGGTGACCAGGAGCCGCGGGACCCGGTTCCGTTTCAAACAAGAAAACTCGGTTCTGTGCAGGACTCCGCAGGTGGTGTAAATGCGCGCGCGCGAACAAAATCCAGAGTGAAACCGGTTCGTGAAGCCGACTCACGCGCAAGAAACTCTCCCAGAAACTGTGGACGTTTGGGATTTATTTATGTAAATTACACGGAGACAAAAAGAGGAGTGAGTAGAGAAGGAACTGCGGGTGGCGAAGGCCGGCAAGCCGCG